AACATGACAAAAGAGCAATTTTTACTCACAATCAAGTAATAAGTTTCTATTAAATGCTTGGCCCAGAATATTACACATATTTATATAACAGGCATGTAACTACTCCACTGAATGTCTCTGCTGGATTTTACTGACAAATATATTAATAGGAACGTTTAAATTTTCCTAGTCCACTTAACATCCAAATTATTCCAACCCCTATCCCTTAGAAAATTTTAAATCAAAAGCTAGAAATGAGCCGGGCGCAGTGGCTCAAGCCTGTAATCCCAGCACCTTGGGAGGCCGAGGCGGGTGGATCACAAGGTCAAGAGATCGAGACCATCCTGGTCAACACGGTGAAACCCCGTCTCTAATAAAACTACAAAAAATTAGCTGGGCATGGTGGCGCGTGCCTGTAATCCCAGCTACTCAGGAGGTTGAGGCAGGAGAATTGCCTGAACCCGGGAGGCGGAGGTTGCGGTGAGCCGAGATCGCGCCATTGCACTCCAGCCTGGGTAACAAGAGTGAAACTCCCTCTCAAAAAAAAAAAAAAAAACAAAAAAAAAAGCTAGAAATGATTAAGCTTAGTGAGGAAGGTATGTTGAAATTCCAGGAGACAGGCCAAAAGCTAGGTCCGCTTGTACCAGTTAGCCAAGTTGTGAAAGCAAAGGAAAGATTCTTTTTTTTTACTTTTTTTTTTTTTTTCACATTGAATTCCTGCAGAAGGAAAAATTCTTGAAGGGAATTAAGACTGCTACTCCAGTGAACACAGGAATAAGAAAGTGAAAGAGCCTTATTGCTGACATGGACAAAGTCTGGATACGCCAAGCCAGCCCTCACATTCCCTTAAGCACAAGTCTAGTCCACAGCAAGGTCCTCACTTGCCTTCATCTTCTGTGAAGGCTGAGAGAGGTGAAGAAAATGTAGAAGTCTTAAGCTACCAGAGGCTGTTTCATAAAGTTTAAGAAAAGAAGGAACCTCACTCAGCCAGGAACAGTGGCTCATGCCTGTAATCTCAAGACTTTGGGACCGAAGTGGGTGGATCACTTGAGGTCAGGAGTTTGAGACCAGCCTGGTCTTCATGGTGAAACCCCATCTCTATGAAAAACCAAAAATCAGCCAGGGGTGGTGGTAGGAGCCTGTAGTCCCAGCTACTTGGGAGGCTGAGGCATGAGAATGGTTCGAATCGGGAAGGCAGAGGCTGCAGTAAGCCAAGATCATGCCACTGCACTCCAGCCTGGGTGACAGAGCAAGAGAAGAAAGACAGAAAGAAAGAATTAAAAAAAAAAAAAAAAAAAAGAAGAAGCCTTCTCTATAACAAAGTACAAGGTAGGCTGGGCTCAGTGGCTTACATCTGTAATCCCAGCACTTTGGAGGCCGAGACAGGTGGATCATCTGAGGTCAGGAGTTCAAGACCAGCCTGACAAACATGGTGAAACCCCGTCTCTACTGAAAATACAAAATCAGCTGGGTGTGGTGGCAGGCGTTGGTAATCCCAGCTACTCGGGAGGCTGAGGCAGGAGAATCACTGGAAGCCAGGTGGCAGAGGCTGCAGTGAGCCAAGATTGCACCACTGCACTCTAGCCTGGGCAACAAGAATGAAACTCTGTCTGGAAAAAGAAAAGTACAAGGTAAAACAGCAAGTGCTGATGGAGAAGCTGCAGAAGATCTAGCTAAGAGAATTGCTGAATGTGGCTATAATAAACATCAGATTTCCAGTGTAGATGGAACAGCGTTCTATTGGAAAAGGATGCCAACGATCTAGGATTCTTCATAGCTAGAGAGAGAGGTCAATGCCTGGCCTCAACATTTCAAAGAATAGGCTGACTACTCTAGAGGCCGAGGCACAAGAATCACTTGGACCTGGGAGGTGCAGGTTGCAGTGAGCCAAGATCACGCCACTGCACTTCAGCCTGGGCAAGGCACCGAGACTCGGTCGAAAAAAAAAAAAAAACCTTAAGGGCCTTAAGAATTATTACACTAAATCTACTCTGCCTGTGGTCTATATATGGAATAAAAATCCCAAAGACAGCACACCTATTTACAGCATAGTTTACTGAATGTTTTAAGCCCACTGTTGAGATTGACTGTTCAGACAAAAAAAAATTCAAGGTATTCCTGCTCACTGACAATGTACCTAGTCACCCAATAGTTCTAATGAAGATGTGCAAGATGAATGTTGTTTTCATGCCTGCTAACACAACATCCATTTCTGCAGCCCATGGATCAAAGAAACTTTCAAGTCTTATTTCTCAAGAAATACATTTTATAAGGCCATATTTGTCATAGATAGTAATTCCTCTGACAGATCCTGGTAAAGCAAACTGAAAATCTTCCCAATTAAGAACACTTATGATTCACAGGAGGAGGTCAAAATATCAACATTAATGAGAGTTTGGAAGAAGCTGATTCCAACCCTATGGATTACTTTAAGGGACTGAAGACTTAAGTGGAGGAAGAACCTGCAGCTGTGGTAGAAATGGCAAGGGAACCAGAATTAGAAGTGGAGCCTGGTATTTTGGAAGGCCAAGGCAGGAGGACCAGTCAAACCCAGGAATTTTAGACCAGCCTGGGCAACGTAGTGAGATCCTGTCTCTTAAAAGAAAAAAGTAAACTACAAAATTACCTGGACAAGGTGGCTCATGCCTGTAATCCCAGCACTTTGGGAGGCTGTGGCGGCCAGATGACTCATGGACAGTCGTTTGAGACCAGCCTGGCCAACACGGTGAAACCCTGTCTCCGCTAAAAATACAAACATTAGCTAGGCGCAGTGGTACATGCCTGTAATCCCAGCTACTTGGGAGGCTAAGGCACAGGAATCACTTGAACCTGGGAGGTGGAGGTTGCAGTGAACAGAGCTCGCATCACTGCACTACAGCCTGGGTGACAGAGTGAGATTCTGTCTCAAAAAAAAAAAAAAAATAGTTGGGTGTGGCGGCATGTGCCTGTAAAGGTTGAGGCAGAAGAATCACTTGAGCTGGGGAGGTAGAGGCTGCACTGAGCTGTAATCATGCCAAGGCACTACAGCCTGGGTGACAGAACAAGACCCTGTCTCGAAAAAAGAAAAAAAAAAAGGTAGAGCCTCAAGATGTAACTGAATTGCTGCAATCTCATAATAAAAATTGAACAGATGAGGACTTGCTTCTTATGGATGAACCAAGAGAGCAGTTTCTTGAGATGGAATTTACTCCTGGTGAAGAAGCTGTGAACGTTGTTGAAATGACAAATTTAGATGTAGAATACTCCATAAACTTAGCTAATACAGCAGCAGGAGGGTTTGAGAAGACTTGACTTCATTTTAAAGAAGTTCCACTGTGGATAAAATGCTGTCAAGCAGCATCACAAGCTACATAAATCTTTTGTGAAAAGAAGAGCCAATCGCAGCAAAGCTCATTATTGTCTTATTTTTAAAAACTGCCACAGCCATCCCAACCCTCAGCACTCACCACCCTGATCAGTCAGCAGCCATCAACACTGAGGCAAGACCCTCCACCAGCAAAAAAACAAAAAAACAACTCCCTGAAGGCTCAGATGATTGATAGCATTTTTTAGCCATCAATTATTTTTTAGATAAGGTAGATACATTTTCTAAGCAGAATACCATTGCATCCTTAACAGACCACAGTATAGTGTAAACATAACTTTTATATGCACTGGGAAACCAAAAAAAATCATGTGACTCACTTTATTGCAATATTTGCTTTATTGTGGTGGTCTGCAACCAATCAAAATATCTAGAAGGTATGCCTGTATTTACCTTCCCATAGTTTAAGCCCCTAGAGATCTAACCCTCCACCCCATTTTAGGATCTTTTCATGTCATATCTCTACAGTTTATCATCTTTTAAACACTGTATAGAAACTTTCTGGCCTATCCACTTCTTTTCTAGGAAAGCCCTGTATCATAGTACAAATTAACATCAAGGATAGGCACAGTGACTCACGCCTGTAATACCAACATTTTGGGAGGCCGAGGTGGGTGAATCACGAGGTCAAGAGATCGAGACCATCCTGGCCAACATGATGAAATCCTATATCTACTAAAAATACAAAAATTAGCTGGGCTTCGTGGTGTGCACCTGTAATTCCAGCTACTCAGAGGCTAAGGCAGGAGAATCGCTTGAACCAGGGAGTTGGAGGTTGCAGTTTCCTGCCCTCTGCCCTCTTCCCTGACACCTCCAGATACACACACGAGAAATATGCCTTTATCTCTATTTCCATGGTAAGGTCATGCAGTCCCCAAGAGCTGGAAGTCAACGGCTTCCCTAAGTGGTCACAGTTCACATGCAGTGGTGCATAGTCCAGTGCCTGTGAGACTTTTCAGGTTTAAATGTCGGTTAATAAAATCCAACAGAGTTACTGTAAAGACTTAAACATTCATGTGACTTAACTCACAGGAAAATTTACATCCACTAAGCAATTCATAAGATAACATTTACTCTTAAGTGTGATTCAATTTACCATAGAGACTAAGAAAAATGACTTAATAAGGTAGTTAAGTATCTCTTCACAACAGACTAGGAAAGGGTAAAAATTAAAGGATAGTTCATCAGACCATAACAATCATCTGGTGTCCAATCAGGGCAGTTTTGCCAGGTGGGGCACGGTGGCTCATGCTTGTAATCCCCGAACTTTGGGAGGTCGAGGCAGGAGGATCGCCTGAGCCCAGGGGTTGGACGCTGCAGTGAGACATGATCGTGCCACTGCACTAAAGCCTGGGCCACAGAGCGAGACCATTACTCAAAAAAGAAAAAAAAAAAAAAGGAGAGAGAAAGAGAGAGGTTTTTGCCAAAGCTGCCCGAGATGTACTGGGCACGCCCCACGTGCTCAGGTCCCACAAACCAGCAATAACAATACTAGTGCTTTCACCAGTCATCAGGAAAATACCCAGAAAAGCACCGGGTACTTTTTAAACTGTCATCTTGTTACTGTGACATTACATTTCTGTAGTTAAATAGTACAGTAGGCCTCAGGTAAGAGATCCAACTGGGTACACGAATCATCCCGGCCCAAATTAAACACCTGTTTCCAGGAACTGGAGGCTCTCGTCCACACCCCCTCCCGACCCGGAAAGGCGGAAGACAAGTAACAGCCCCTCCGGCCTGGCGGGTCGGCTTCCAGTCCCTGGAGGTGGGCGGCAGTCATCAGGGCCCGGCACGCGGTCGCGGCCCAATCTCAACTTGGGTCCGACCCTGACCCTCAACGCCACCCGGAACCCGCAAGAGGGCGGGACCTGCCGTTCCCGCCGGGGACCACGGAGGGGCGGCGCCGGGACCCGCCGCCGCGGGCGCCTTTGTCGTGGGGGCACGGCCTCCCACCGCCCGCGCAGGCTTCGTCAAACCCACCCCGAGTAGTCGCCGCCGCCTGGGCTCCGGAGCGCGGAAACGGATCCTAACGGAAAGGGCACGCGGCGCGGACAAGACGCAGGAGCCGCTCGCTCGCGCGCCTCTCACCTGTGAGCCTCAACCGCCACAGCCCCACGCGCGGCGCGCTCCCGCGGCCCTGCGCCCGCGCTTCCGGAGGCGGAGAGAGCGGAAAGGGAAAGGAGGGGCGGCGCAGGGCCGGGCGCTCCGGGAGAGGCGGGGGCGCGGGGCGCGGGGCGCGGGGCGGGGGCGTGGGGCGGGGGCGCACTGTGGGCCTCGTGCGGGCCTCTCGCGGCTCTAGCGGCGGGCGTCACAGAGCGCGGTGGGCCAGCGGCCAGGCCCCGGCTCCACGCCTGCGGAGCGGAGGCCGGGCCGGGCACCAGCGCACGGGAAGAGCCGCGGAGGAAGGCGGTCTAGCCCGCGCGGTTGCCAGGGCGCCCTCAACGCGTTGCGGCTGCTCGGCGCTGCCTGGGGTGGCGTGCGGAGGTCCCGTTGTTACCGTGTGTTAATAGGGAAAGCTGCCTGGATTATGTTGTAATTCTCTACCAAAACAAGAATAAAAACGGACGGCGGTTGTGTGTTTGTGATATTTCCTTTTATTTTTTTAAAGATGGGGTTTCACCCTGATGGCCAGGCTGGCCTTGAACTCCTGACCTCAGGTGATCCACCCACCTCGGCCCCCCAAAGTGCTAGGATTACAGGCGTGAACCACAGCGCCAGGCCGTGTTTGTGATATTTTCTATCGGCAAAGTTCAGTTGAGACCACTAGGTGGTTCTGTGGGCCAGAGACTGGTAGCCGAATGGAAAGTCCTTTTCGGAGGGGTAAACGAGGTGGGTAGTTAAAACAGTCTAAGGTAAAAATGATCTCTGCAGAATATGTTGAATGCAATAACTTCACGTTGAACTTTCAGGTATGGAAGGATGATGGCACCCCAAAAATGTGCACCTCCTAATCCCCACAACACGTGAATATGTCACTTTATGTGGCAGGTAGGATTTAGCTGATGTGATTAAGGATCAAAATGGAAGATTAACCTGGATTATCCAGTGGACCCATTGGAATCACAAAGGTACCTTACAAGAGGAAGAGAAGTTCAAAGTTAGTAGTGGGAGCTGTGAGCCCAGAAGCTAGAGGTTGAAGTGATGTCAGAAAGAGGCAGTGAGCCAAGGAATGCAGGTAGAAGCTGCAAAAGGAGGAAACATGTTCTCTCCTGAAGCCTCGGGAAGGAACGCCAGCCTGCAAATTTTGGTTTTAGACTTCAGACCTTCAGCACTGTAAGACAATAACTTGTGTTGTTTTAACTAATTTAAATTTGTAGTAATTTGTTACAGCAGCAATGGTACACAATCCAGAAAGTACTCAATAATATGTTCACACCTAAGTGCAAAGAAGGATGTCCCGAGGACTTCCAATAAGGATTGTCTCTATTTTCATCCTTCACAATGTATTTTGTACTTGTTGGTCTTAATTACCAAAAGGATAATCAATTCTCTTTTCGTTGTCTAAAAAAAAGCATTGGCTGGGTGAGGTGGCTCACACCAGTAATCCCAGCACTTTGGGAGGCTGAGGTGGGTGGATCACCTGAGGCCAGGAGTTCAAGACCAACCTGGCCAACATGGTGAAACCCCGTCTCTACTAAAAATACAAAATAGCTAGGCATGGTGGCGTGAGCCTGTAGTCCCAGTTACTTGGAAGGCTGAGATAGGAGAATCGCTTGAACCTGGAAGGTGGAAGTTTCAGTGAGCGGAGATCATGCCATTGTACTCCAGCCTAGGCGACAAAGCAAGACTGAGTCTCAAAAAAAAAAAGCACTTTCTTTTAATGTGCTTTTTTAAAAACCACTTTCCAGGGATAGATGTTTAAACTGTGATCGGCTGGGTGCAGTGGCTCACATTTGTAATCCCTGCACTTTGAGAGGCCAAAGTGATTGGATCACCAGTCTGGCCAACATGGTGAAATCTTGTCTCTACTAAAAATACAATAATTAGCCAGATGTGGTGGTGCACATCTGTAATCCCAGCTACTTGGGAGGCTGAGGCACAAGAATCGCTTGAACCCGGGAGGCAGAGGTTGCAGTGCGCCCAGATCATGCCACCACACTCCAGTGTGGGCAACAAAGTGAGCGCGTCTCAAAATAAGTAAGTAAATAAATAATAAACTGTGGTCAAAAGTTTATCTTACAAAGGACTTGAGTAGATATTCCTTCAAAGAAAATATACCAATGGCCAATAGACAGATGAAAAGATAATACCACTAATTAGGGAAGTGCAAGTCAAAACCACAATGAGATAGATACCAGTTCACACCCACTAGGATGGCTTTTACCAAAAAAACAAAATAAGGATTGGCAAGAATGTGGAAAGACTGAAACCCTTGCGCATTGCCTGCGAGAATGTAGAATAGCTCAGCCACTGTGGAAAATGGTATGGCATGTTCTAAAAAACTTGAACATAGAATTATATGACCCAGCAATTCCCTTCTGGACATACACTAGAAATAAGTGAAAGCAGGGTCTCAAACAGATATTTGTATACCCATGTTCATAGCAGTATAGCCAAAAGGTGGAAACAACTCAAGTGTTCATCAACAGACAGATGAAACAGAATGTAGTAGATATATAAAATGGAATATTAGCCCATGACCTGTGTGCCTCTGGTCCACGTTACAACATTAAGATGTTCTGCAGGACAGACAGAATGGAAACGTATTAATGTTCTCCAGAGAGACAGAACCAAAAGGAAATAGATAGATACATGAGAAGGAATTTATTAGAGAAATTGGCTTACATGATTATGGAGGCTGAGAACTCTGATGATACACCCCTTCAACAGCTGGAGAGCCTAGAAAGCTGGTGGTGTGGCTCAGTTCAACTCCGAAGGCCTCAGTACCACGGAAGCAGGTGGCATAACTCTGAGGCAGTAGGCCTGAGAACCCAGGAGGCTGCTAGTGTAACCTGGAGTCTCCATGCCAGAGAGCCTGGAGTTCTGATGTCCAAGGACAGGAGAGCCTATCCTAGCTTCAGGGCACAGGGGAAACCACCTTTTTGTTCCTTCTAGGCCACAGCTGATTGGATGATGCCTGCCCACATTAAGGGTGGATCTTGCCCACTGAATCCACTGACCCAGGGGCAATCTTCTTGGGAAACACCCTCATAGACACACCCAGAAATAATCCTTTGCCGGTTCTCCAGGTAATCCCAATGCAGTCAAGTTGACACCTAAAATTAACCATTGTCACAATTCTTACCTCACGGCTCAATGTTCCTCAAATCTCACAGGGTGGAGGCTGAACTGCTATTTGTTAAATAAATGTGCAAAGCAGTAATGCTGATTTAGCAGCAATACATTTCTTCAAAGAATATATACAAATATCTTATATGTATGTACCTTGAGGTAGTTTTCTGACTCCAGGCTTACATTTCTTCATGTCTGCATTACTCTTGCAAGCAATATACATGGGTGTATTGGAAAGATCATGGTCCGAGTTACGGCCTGGGCTGTCAATAAGTTTCAAACCAGTTTCCTCTTCTCCCCTTTACCGATTCAAATTATAAAGTTATAATCACTTAGCCTTGTCAGGAGGCTGGCTAAGTTGCTGCTATTCTCACAAAACTACTATCCATTTTTTTTTTTGGAGATAGGATCTTGCTTGGTTCCTCAGGCTGAAGTGCAGTGGTGCGATCTGGGCTGACTGCAACTTCCGCCTACTGGGTTTAAGCAATTCTCCTGCCTCAGCCTCCCAAGTAGCTGGGATTATAAGTGCACACCACCACACCTGGTTAATTTTTGTATTTTTAGTAGAGATGGGGTTTTGCCATTTGGCCGGGCTGGTCTCAAACTCCTGACCTCAGGTAATCCGCCCACCTCAGTCTTCCAAAGTGCTGGGATTACAGGTGTGAGCCACCGTGCACGGCCTAAGACCATCCACTTTTAAGCACGGAATACAGGTCAGAGGCAAGAATTTAACCTTTTTTTTTCCTCTTCTGTAATATGAGATGACTAAATCACAGACTTCTTGGGAAGCACCATGGCAGAGTGATTAAATGCACAAGCTCTGAAGCTAGACCACATGGAGTAACAACCAAATCCTGCTTCTGTTACTTAGTTTTGTAATGTTAAGCACGTTATCTTACCTCCCGTGCCTCAGTTCCCCACTGTGTAGATGGAGATAACAGTATTCCTTAAATTTGTTGTAAAGATGAAATGAGGTATGTTTGGTGCTTAGACTAGTATCTGGCATACAGTAAGTGCTGTTAGTTACTATTATGGTGAGCTAGGGCTTAAACTGAAGAATTAATTTAAATGTATCATAAAGCCTTCAGAATATAGTCCTAGGCATGTAAATAATCAAAAAACATAGATTTGGTTGTTGGTGATAACAAGCCGCTATGCTTTACTTGAAATAATTTGGGTTTGTAGGGTACAGAAAGCTGGTAACTTTTTTTTTTTGAGAGGGAGTCTCACTCTGTCGCCCAGGCGCGATCTGCAACCTCCGCCTCCCCGGTTCAAACAATTATTCTGCCTCAGCCTCCCGATTAGCTGGGACTGCAGGCACGAGCCACCACGCCCAGCTAATTTTTTGTATTTTTAGTAGAGACGGCGTTTCCCCGTGTTACCCTTGATGGTCTCGATCTCCTGACCTCGTCATCCACCCTCCTTGGCCTCTCAAAGCTCTGGGATTACAGGTGTGAGCCACCGCGCTCGCCGCTGGTAACTTATTTTGATCATCATCTTGGCGTGACAAAGTCACATCTAGCACGAGGCACTCTCTGTTTTTGACTTGCAAGGTATAAGAGAGAATGAAGTGGAATGTAGTTGGTCCGAGTGTTGTGGGTTATTGTTAAGCTGATTTAACATTTCCCCCCCCCCACAACCACGCTTGACTAG